GAAATTTAAGAAATGAGCAAGTTTTTTAATTTTTTTATTGAAAAATAAAACTGCGAATGGAGTAAAAAATTAGGATTAAAGAATGAAAAACACTTTTATCTACTGAACATGTCATTTTATTTTGATTTATTAAAAAAAATCACTATTTATTACAACTTTAGATTTATTTAGATTCATCCGTCAGTAATATTAATACTATGAAGTATTGATGATTTAATTAACAAAATTAATCATTAAAACACAAGTTATAAGTGAAATCATCAAAAAAAAATTATTTATTTTTTTAATATAATAATAGTAATAATAATAATAATAATTTTTAATTAAAATTAATTAATAATGATGATGAAAGGATTTTAAAAATTTATTTATAAGTATAGTTAAGGTTCCTTTTTAAAATGTTTTTCATACTAAAATATATTAAAATAATATTTTTTTATATTTTTAAAATTAATATATTAAAATAATTTAAAAAAATTAAATTTTAACATAAAAAAATTAATTTTTTTAAAAACACGTTCTCTTAGTTATTATTCGGAACCCGGTTGAAAATAAAGTGATAACCAAGGAATTGATATATTGTTTTCAATAAACTGGAAACCCTAAGACGTACCCGATTTATCAAAAACAAATCGTGGCCGTTGATTTGCCTCGTATAGACACTAGGGTTTTACTAGTATTTTAGCAGCAGCACCTCTCCTTCTCCCTCGGTTTTTTCCCCTCCGAAGCAGGCTCTGCTGCTACACTGAGCATCACCAATGGTAAGTCAATGCCTTGATTTAGCAACCTATCTTAACGTTCTTCTCGCTTTCCTTGCTGTTATCTAAAGATTTCATTCTCGGTTTTGCCTTTTCTTTATTCTTTCATCTTAGATCGTTTGCTATTTACTCTTGGTTAACATGGCTTGTTGCTCTGGTTTCATGTACTAGAAAAACTGAACTGATGGAGTGAAATGATTGGCTTAGGCCCAGTTGAGTGATTATTGTTGTTGTATAACGAGTTGAAGTTTGGCAAACAAGCTGTTCAAGTCGTATTTTAGGGGATGGTGTATGAATCATTGACAACGAGATAGTAAAGTTTTTCTATATTTGATTCATGTTGAGATCATTTTTGTTCTTCTTGAGGTTCTTCTTCCTACTCGACTGTTGTGATGCGACCATGGAACTTTTCTTAAAGATGGTGTACCAATATAAACTTATATGTAATAGAATGCTTTTGAGTGCTTGTTAAGTGATCAAGTTTTGGCTGTGATAATGTGATTGCTTATAACAGGCATTTGCCAAAGCCCAAAAGTCGAGAGCTTACTACAAGCGTTTTCAAGTGAAATTCAAGAGAAGACGAGGTGGTTTTTTCACTTCTTTCAGATGGATTTCCATCTTTTGCCTGCTGCTTTCTTGACATAACATCTGTTTGAATTGTGCAGAGGGCAAGACGGACTACAGGGCAAGGATACGTCTTATCAACCAAGACAAAAACAAATACAACACTCCAAAATACCGTTTTGTTGTGCGATTTGTATCCAGTTTCTAATTTTACATTATCAATTTGTTTTTGGTTTTTCTTTTTTTTTTCTATTTCTGTTGGATATCTTGGTCTAATAGGTTATTTATTTATTCCCCTTTCTAATGCTTTCACCTTAACACCCATATTAGACTAACAAAGATGTAACTGCACAAATCATACATGCTAGCATGGCCGGTGATATTGTTGTTGCAGCTGCCTATTCCCATGAGCTACCCTGCTACGGCCTTGAAGTGGGTCTCACAAATTATGCAGCAGGTATAACAATCTGTCTCAGAATATTTGAGGTCTCTGTTTCTCACAATCAGCTGCTCTAATTGCCTCTGCTACATTCCAGCTTACTGTACCGGGCTTCTCTTAGCCCGTCGAGTTCTGAAAAAGCTTGAGATGGATGAGGAGTATGAAGGAAATGTTGAGGTATATGGCTGATTCACAGTGGTTTATCAATATGAAAATCATTCTATTCTACTTGGGTGGATTGCAAGATATGTATTCTTCCTGTGCACAGGCAACGGGAGAAGATTATTCTGTTGAACCAGCAGATAGCAGAAGGCCTTTCCGTGCTCTCCTTGATGTTGGTCTTGTGAGGACAACAACTGGGAATCGTGTTTTTGGTGCTCTTAAGGTATGCGGTATTCTTGTCATGTCGTTCAGCTTAAAGCAAACTCAGAGGAAAACAAATTCATTCAAATATCTGTTTTGGGCACTCCCCACTCTTCCTTATATTTTACCAACATTTTTCCCCACAGATCAGTAATGCTCTTCTTATCAGTTGTAATTGTGAAAAAATGGTTCAACTCTTTAATGAAATCTGTAGCCGTGAAAACAAAATTTAGCAGACAATTTCATCTGGGTCCTTATATTCTTGGTCATGTCTGTCCAAATAATTTATGAACTTGTTTACAAACGTGGAGATCTTGTTAATTGTGTTGCCTTGAGGATACACACCAATTAATAACAGGATGTTGGCATTCTTTTCAAATTTAGGGAGCTTTGGATGGTGGACTTGATATTCCTCATAGCGACAAGAGGTTTGCTGGATTCAACAAGGATGGAAAACAGCTTGATGCTGAGGTTCATCGCAAGTACATTTATGGCGGTCATGTTGCTGCATATATGAGGGTAAGTTTCCTATTTGTCTGCTAACTAGGGAGATTGTGTGATTTTGCTGCAACTTAGTTACAAGCAGGACAATCTCTGTAAAGACTATTTGTACTCCTTTTAATTTTATTGGTAACTTGTCCAGAATCTGATGGAAGATGAGCCAGAGAAATATCAGTCTCATTTCAGTGAGTACATTAAGAGAGGCATTGAACCTGATAACATGGAGGAGTTGTACAAGAAGGTCCATGCTGCTATACGTGAGGACCCTACTGCGAAGAAGAGTGGGAAGCAACTTCCAAAGGAGCACAAGAGGTGTGATCCCCCCCTCCTTTAGCACAAACTCTTGGCAAAAATGTGTTGCTTGTATTAATCATGTTACCCAATTTGAAATACCCACGAGCTTCTTTTTTTTTTTCTGTTTGCATACCAGGAGACTTATAGGGATGGGGACAGTGACATGCTAATTGAGCTGCGGCTCATTGGCAATGTTCCTTGTAGTTGACTGTATTTTGTGACAACTTTTCATGAAGACCATTCTAATCAAAGTCTTGATTTTTTCTGCAGATACAACCTGAAGAAGCTAACCTACGAGGAAAGAAAGGCCAAGTTGGTTGAAAGGTTGAAGGCTCTCAATTCTGCTGCTGACGATGATGAAGATGATGAGTAAATTCAGAAGGAATTTAATGCTTATCCAAAACTAAGACTTTGGTGGGTTTTTTAGGAAGATGAGGAATAGTTATTTTCCAATTTTATTACGGATTGATTAGGGCTGATGCCAGCAACTTTTGTCATGATGATCAACAAAATGGATGGCACTTTTTTGAGAAAACCATTGGGTGCAATTTAGTGTGGATTAGCTGCTTATTTTGATAGTTAAATTATCTCTGTGACTCGAAGATCTACATGCAAAAGGGTATGCCTTGGCTTTTAAACTCAATGTGAATTCGGTGTTCTTGTGCTCAAGACGAATGCATTTGGAAAAGGTTAGAGAGCTTAATGTCTACACTAGTTGTATTTGTTTCATTGCTTATTTTCGAGCTTGTTTGTAAAGTTTATCTTTTAAAATGATTTTTGTTTTGAAAATTATTTAGAAATATACTGAAATAATATATATATATTTTTTAAAAAATTTATTTGTAATAGTACTATATAAAAATGATTTGAAAACATTAAATTTAAATTAAAAAACAAAAATTTTAAGTTTTTCCAAAAGTGATTTTGAAATGCAAAAATAAGCAATTCCAAAACTATAAATAGCAATATTTAGCGAATATTTTGTGGTTTTTCTGAGATACAAACCTGAATTAGATATGGAAGCTGGCCGTCTGGAACCGAGAAAGTGCATGTTGCCTGTCATTGTTTCGGATAGCGAACAGCTGAAGTTCTTTTATAATTGTTGTTAGTTTTGAAAATATGTTTTGTTTAAAAAGTATTTTTTATTTAGAAATATATAAAAATAATATATTTTTTTATTTAAACAAAATTAATTTTAATATTACAACATCTAATCCAAGAATATAAAAAATTAATTTTAAATAAAAAAATTTAAATTTACCTAACCCTATATAAAAACACAATAGCAAACTGGGGCGCTGCGGATGTGTTTAAGGATAGCAAACTGGGGCGCTGCGGATGTGTTTGCTACTGGTATTTCCTTTATTATGATATCATTAAGGGTGTGATTAAGAGTGTGTTTATATTGTATTAGATTAGTTGTGAATTAAACTTTATTTTTTATTAGTTTTTTTAGGTTATTCCTATAACATGATCTGTATCAGGGATTTAAAAGATTAACTTAGGTTGACTTAAGTTATTTTTTTAATTCTATTCTGAATATTATATTATGTTGGTTGGGAATTGAACTTTATTTTTTTTAATTTGTTTTCTTTGAGTTTATCTCCATCTTATAACATATATTATAAATTTGACAAGTTACATGTTTTTTACTTGAATTATTTTTATATTATTTTTTAATTTTATTATTAAATATTGAATTTAATGAAAACTGCTTCATAATTTTTTTTTATTTTTGAATTTAATGAAAACTGCTTCATAATTTTTATTTTTATTTTCATAAGATCAGTTTAACAAATTAACCCAACTTGACAAAAAAAAAAAATTGGATGACTTTTTTAATTAATTTTTTTATATATAAAAAAATCCATCCTTCTAGCATTTTGAAAATTAATTTTATAATTTATTTCAATTTATCTATTATAATCTTATAATTTATGTTATAGATTTAATGACAATCAATCTAATATTGTTGTCTCAATATTACAAGAAAAAGTTCAGGGTGTCATCGCCGTAATATTTAAAAAACAAATATTCATTAAATTTTAAAATAATAATAAAAATATTTTGCTCCTGAAAAACAAGTTACAACGCTTGAACATTATTTTTATGCTAAAAATAAATTTATCCGACTTGCAGGTTAGCAGAAGCAATCTACATTCTTTCCCGGGAAAGTCTTGGACAAGCAGGGGATGGCGTTGCGATAGCATGTCATGGAAGAGATGCTTCTGGGTTTGGGAAGTCATCATCCATTTATAATAGTCACATGATTCACTGCAAAGTATATGACGCAAAGAAGAACAGATAATATTCATTATTCAAATTGCATTAATGAAAAGTTGAAGATACCAAGACAAATTATCAGCCATCTCTTTCTAACATCATGGGGGTGGTATCCATATCTTCTCAGTTTAACTTATGGTTTTATGGTACAAAATTAGCACAACAGCAAGACCTTGATTTATGTTTTGTGAAGGACACAATTGGTCTTCCAGAGAGGATTATTTCAAGCAAGCAAATGACACATAGCAAACCCAACCTGGAAAAGTAGGAGCGGCATTTTCATCATAGCAGGCCGGAACTAGAAAGGTAGGAGTGGTATGTCCTCCATCTGGGCATTTTCATCATAGCAGGCCGGAACTAGGTAGGAGTGGTATGTCCTCCATCTCAACTGCTCCATCATACAGCTCTAGAATCTTGTGATTTCTAAAGGAAAACGGATATAGATTTAATATGCTCAGTTGCTAGTACCGTCTCCCCACACATTATCCCATGCACCACTTGGAGCAGCCTTTGGCCCCTCAATGTAGTTCTGATTCCCACGGGGGTTGTGGGGGACAGGGAATCCATCAGGTCCTGGCCCTTGAACCTTCCGGGGCTTTGATTTGATTCCCAACAATCTCAAAGCAAATCTAGCCAATTCTCCATACAATAACCCTGTGCGATCAAAGAGCTGCAAGCGACAATTTCATGAATCATTGTGCAAGGACATTGTCATGAAGCACAACTAAAATGAAGGTACATGAGGGCTCACTTTGTAATATCAAGTCTATTTTCAAAGAAAGGAAAAGTGGACATTTAACGAGCTTAACCTGAAGAAGGGCAGACATGAACATGTGGAATGCCTGGGTGTTCTGGTCAATCAAGAATGATATCCGGCCAAAAACATTCACAACACTTTGCATCTGTAGTAAAGTTCAAAATAACAAAACATCAAACAATTGAACCTTGCAATGGAAAGGTACGGCAGGTTAAGAAATGATAATTTATCTACAAAGTCATCATTGCTAATTTACATAACAAATCAGATGTTAAGTTCAATATGAACGGGTGCATTTACTTCTTTCTTTTTAACCTAAAAGGCTACTCTTGCATCCCAGATAGTTTATGAGTAAAAGATTTGGTCAAGCTGGTATTGTAAGACAGCACATAAGGAGACAATGAATATTGCCCTTCAAATACTAAGAGACACCAATCATGGTCCATCTGATTGTTCTCGATGAAATACTCTGCAAGTGTGAGATTAAAGAATTGTAGACATACATTTTGCGCAAACTTCCATAGCACCAAACAATCCCTGTGGATTTTAATGGCTTGTAATTCTATTCTACAACCGTGGCCAGGAATAGGAGCACAGTAAAGGGCCATTTTATAGATCAATGATAGCCAAACGTCATTCCTTAGAATGAAAAAATGTTTATAAATTCATAGTGAATGAGACAAAGTTATAAAGTACACTATTTTATGGGCAGCATGCTCTAATAGGCACTGTTTGGCATTGGAGGTATCAAATAATGAGAGTAGATTCCATCAAACAGCCTATCACAAGCTAAGTTGAAGGATTGACCCAAGAAGAAACATATAAATGCTATCAAGAGCAACCCTTTTCCTCTCTACAAAACGTACTGGTATTTGATCTGGTGGTGGTCTGTGGTCATAAATCAAAGCCAAAACAACAACAAGAAGAAAAGACAAGAAAAAGGAGAGATCCCTTACAACTCGAAGAAAAGAAACCCAAAAGCTTGGTGGTGACGGTGGAGCACCAAAGGGATTATTTGGATCTTGATCACCGCAAGGACCCATGCCCATTCCATAACCACCCATTGGACCACCAAGACCGCCACCAAGACCGCCGCCGTACATGCCTCCATTATACATCCCCCCGTAACCTCCTCTATATGAACTGTTCCCATACATGCCACCACTATACCCTCCAGCTCCACCATACGAAGAGCCATACATTCCACCATAGGAATTTCCATACATTCCCGTACCATACCCGTTATTATAACCTGCACAAAAATAACAATATCCACACATGAAACTAGTCAAATAAAGCAGCAAAGCTATCATCCACCCCAGCAGTCACCTTTAATCCGTATCATATAGCTTTTAATTTTAATCTTCAGTATACCAAGACCCTATTACTCCCATTAAGTACATCGTTGTGATTCAATCAACGGCCCACATGAATTCAACATCATTTGTTGTGAATTTAACATAAATCACAGATTACTTGTTTACCATTTGCACACACTTGCAAGCATAGGAAAGAAAGGCGAAATACCCGAATACATGGTTCCAGCGTTCTGTTGCTCCCAGGGCCTAGTGGGAACAGGTCTCCCAAGAGAATTTGCGGTGGCAACTGTATTCCCACCAGTAGCAGGAACAATTTCTCCCGGTTTCGTTGTTCCAGATGCCTCAACCACGTCACTCGTGCTTCCAGGGGATGGCGGTTTAAAAGGTGTAGGGCCAGAAGATGATGTTCCCGCTCGTTCCCACGGTTTAGGAGGAGGGCTACCACCTGCAACAAGAATAATTACAGATTACAAACTACCCGTGACATGAAAAGAAAAAACAGCAAGTAAATCAAAAGTTACAGATTCTCCAAATCTATATAAAAGGGAGCTAGAAATAGAATCATCAATTGAAAATAATTTAATTCCCCTAGAAGAAAATTAAACAGATAAATAAAGAGTTATTCTTGTCTTGATCCTCCAATTCAAAGCTGTGATACTTACGGTGATGAGATAGAGAAAATAAAGGAAAGAGAAGGAACCTGGTTGTTGGGAATTGGAGTCCATGACCGAACAAAAAACGATTGGGCTCCCTTCCCCAATATTGTCTTTTATAGCGCCCGTCTTGGTCTCGGAGGGTCTTCTAATACTTTAGGTACTTTTCATATTTTCTTAATGTGATCCCTCTACTCTCTTCATATTCCTAATTTGACCCCTTCGATGATTCCAGTTAATTTCTCGGCTATAAGTATTGCTTAGATTCTCGATCACAATCAAATCTCTTTGTCCAGATCTCTCTCGATTGCATTTCAATTTCAAATAAAGAAACATTTTTTCAATTAAAATCTTTTTTTATTTTTTTTCAAACTTTATTGAATCCTTTACCATAATAATCACCCAGAATTAAAATTTGAGCATTTTAATAAAAAATTTCTTCTTTTTTTTTTCCAAATTTTGAGTTTAGCTAACATGCCAAGCCACAAGCCGCTCGTGACCGGGAAATTGGCCGGGATGTCATCGGAAGGGTCACATTAAGAAAAAGCAGAGAATTGAAGGACCCCATTAAAAAAGTAAGAGTAAAGGTACAATTAATAAGAAAATATGAAGAGTCCAGAGATGAATCATGCAATTACCAAAACTAAAACCGCGTATATCCCTTTTGGTCGTATTTTTTTAGTTTGAAATTAATATTTTAATGTTTTTTTAATTATTTTAATTTATTAATAGTAAAAATAATTTATTTAAAAAAAATATTATTTTACAAAATTCCCAAACAAATTACACTTTCAAAAATATTCTCTCCAGACTCCAAATATCTAATTATTAACAGAAAGGTGCGTGCTGATTTTGCCTCTATCCACGTGCCTTCTGTTTAAATTCTTATTTGTTTTTATATTTAAAAAAAAATATTTTTTATTTGTTTTAAATTAATTTTTTATATATTTTTAAATTATTTTGATACTTTTATTTTAAAAATAATTTTTAAAACATAAAAAATATTATTTTAATATATTTATAAGTAAAAATACTTTAGAAAATAACTATAAGTACACTTTCAAATATTTATTAGAAAATATATAAATTTTTACTAAAAAATTCTCTCCAAGGTGCTATTGAAATTTTAAATTAATTTTTAACTCAAATTCATTGCAAAGGTGCATTTTTTAAAATTATAAAAATTTTCAATTTAATTATTTCATAATAAAATAAAATAAATATATAAACTAATAAATTGTAAAAAAGTTATTAATATTAATTAAGAACTAATGTGAAAAAATAATTTTTTTAAAAGAAAAAAAAAATATATATATATATAAATATTTTATGTTATTCTTTTTAATTTTATACTATTCATTTTAGAGGTTAATTTTGATTGCTAGATACACGTGATTTATGTTCTTGTAAATACATCATGGAAGAACAACTCACCTGTCTAAAATTTAACAGGAAAAAAAAAGATAAATTACAATAATATCTTATAAAATTATAAAAAAAGTCTAAAAGATGATTTATTATCTAAAAAAATTAAACTAAATAATTTTAAAAATGAGACAGAGGATATTAATTAAAAATTAATTTTAGAAAAATAGTGAAGAACTAAATAATTTATATATTTTTTTAATGGTTTTCATTTTCAAACCAACTTGCAAAAAGCAAGGAAAGACACATTTCTCTCATCAACTTTTATCTATTTTCTTTTTTAATTATCTTAAAGCAAATCATTTCATGTGTATTTTTAAAGATCAGATAAAAAGCTACTTAATTGATAAATATATCAAGGTTAAGTGAAGGTTAAGTTTATCAAAAACATTACTTAATCTGTTAGTCTAATATATGATTTATATTATTTTCTAATATGTTCTTTCAAATGAAAGTTCTTTGCGTTTAAAAATTACACAGGTTCACATTATTTTATATTTGATTTGTATTAAATAAATAACGATAGTTTTATATTTAATTTGTATTAAATAAATAACGATAATAAGATTTAAACTCGTGATAACATGATCATCAAAGATTTAATACCATGTCAAATAATTATTTCAGCCCAATAGTTTAAATTATTAGATAAGATTTCAAAATATATTTTATATTATTCTTTAACAAATTCTTCTCCACATATTTTTTTAGTTAATAATACACTTTCACACCAATTTAATAAAATTATAAAATTAAATTTTAATAAATGTCGGCCTTGATATTTTAACTAGGAAAATTGAAGGAAAATAAATTAACCTCACTATAATTTATTTCCCAACTATTCTTCTAAAAAGCCATGAAAACATATATACTCACCATTTCAATAAGAAGTTAATATATATATATGTGTGTGTGTGTGTGTGTGTGAAATCTTGTGGTGATTAAAATAAATATTAATAAGAAATCAATTGAGAAAAATATATCTTATGATTTGAAATTTCTTTTTCTCACTCATGTTTTTTTCCTATCACAACATGGTTTTTTGAATAAAAAATTAATGTAAGTAAAATAAATAGAGAAAATTACTTTTGCCCTTATATAGTTTAGGTTTTTTTTTTTTTTCACTTTGCCTCAATATCTTCAAAAATTATAGTTTGCATTGTAAAATTAATAAATTCATAACATTTTATATAGTTATTCATGCTTCTCAAAAAATTAATAAAATAATGAATTATTTATAAAATAATCATTATATTGACGAAAAAGCTCTAATGC